GGCACCGAAGTAAGGGGCCTTAACAGTATCCATAAGGGGTTCTTAGGGTTCCTTTGAAGGGGTCTACAAGGGTTACTGTGAGGGATTTATGAAAGGGTTCTATAGTATGGGGGAGTTAATAAATACAATGCATGTCCTAGGGTTCCTTTAAAGGGGTCTATAAGGGCTACTGTAAGGGATCCATAATAGGGGTCGACGGTATGGGGACCTTAATATTGCCTATACTATTTTGGAGCTTCCTTATTGTAGTTATAGCATAATGGGCACCAAAACCATATTCCAATTATTAAGGCGCCTAGAGTATGTAAGCGCCCAAACTCCCCTAAAACCTCTCGGGGCTCTAGGGGTTTGTGTCTTGGGATGAAAAATAAGACGAAGTAAGGGTTTAGGGAACCTCCGAGGTTAAGTGTTTCGGCTTTAGGCTTGAGGGCTTAGGATGAGTTAAGGCAAGGGTTTAGGGTACAGGGACCATCGTCGAAATCATAATAGTCGCAATAGCAATCCAGAGTCATAACAGGAACAGTTGCGGTTACGGTAAGATGGTCAGTCCATGTCCGCTCTTCGCGCTCAGGTGGGGACAACGATCCGTTCTGATTCTGGCTACCTTACTTACCAACCACCATAGTCACCAAGTCCCCTGATCGCTTTAGTACACCCCTTGTCCTTAAACCCTCACGCATAGCGAACCCATATTGGGTGGCTGTCAATATTAGGGTCCCTTTTTGGCTCCCTAATATAGTACGGCACCTAATATTTAGGGTGCCCAAAAAGGGACCCTACACTACTTGTTTACGTGTATGGTTCGTTAGTCAGGAATCTTGAACCGAAAGCCTCCAAACCCTAAACCCTAAACCCTAAACCCTAAACCCTAAACCCTAAACCCTAAACCCTAAACCGTAAACCCTAAACCCTAAACCCTAAACCCTAAACCCTAAACCCAAATCTTCAACGCTAGACGCTTAAACTTGAAACCTTTGAGCTCTGACACCCAAACCCCTAAAAATCTGAACCCTCGACCCCTAAACCCCAAAACTCTAAACCCTAAACTCCTGAGCCCCTAATTCCCTTAATCCCTGATTCCCTGAAGGCCTGAAAGCCCTAAACTCCTAAGCCCCTAAACCCTTGAACTCCTAGACCCTAAACCCTAAATCCGTGAACCACAGACCCTAAACCCTAAACTCCTAAGCCCCTAAACCCCTGAACCCCTGAACCCTTGAACCAGTAGGATCCTTATTATAAGGACCCCAAAATAAGGCACCCCCAATTTTGGGAAGCTCTAAACCCCAAACCCTTTATAGAACCCTTTATAGATTCCCTTTACAGGAACTCTTATGGATCCCTTTTAACGGTACCCCTAATTCTCGCAAACTCTAAGCCCTTAAGGAGCCCTTTAAACGAACCCTTATGGCACCCTTTAAAGGAACCCTTAAGGGTACCCCATAATTTTCGGAAACTCTAAACCCTTATGGAGCCCTTCCCCTAATTTTCGGAACCTCCCCGAATGGCTTATTATATGGACCCCACTTTATAGAGCCCTTTATAGATCCCTTATGGATCCCTTTAAAGGTCCCCCTAATTTTCGGAAACCTCCAAATGGGCAGGTACTACCAGCGCCTCGGGGTGATCGAAGGGCATGTGGGGGGCCTCAGTTTTGGGGTTTGAGGTTCTAGGGTTTAGGGTTTTAGTATTTTAGGGTTTAGGGTTTGAGGGTTTAGTATGGGGTTTAAGATTTACGGTTTTTGGCTTACTTCTAAGGTTTTGGGTTTTCGGTGCTAGGTTCTAGGGTTTAGGGTTTAAGGTTTAGGATTTAAGGCTTAAGGCTTAGGGTTTTCCCGTACGTGAGCCAAAGCTTCAAAAGGTCCTCATTGCAATGCTAGTCTTGCATTTTTTACCTCAGACTCCTATTCTAACTATTTCACTTCGTCTCCCATATAGCAGGGTTTACAGTCTAGGGTGGAGGGAAGTTGAGGGCTCAGAGTTTATGCACCTCGCATTTCCGAAAATTCTTTATGACTCCTGTAGAGGACGCAACCGCATAAGCTTGTGAAACCTGGTTCACGTTCTGTACAGGGTCTAGGATAGAGAGTGTGGGGAGTGTCGGGTTTGAGATTTAGGGGTCTTAAAGGTGGCCTGTTTTCTCATTGCTTTGGGGGATCCTTACATTGACGATCGTTACTATTTAGTGTTTGAGCTGGATCCGTCACTGTTTGTTGTCAAACCGTAAATCCGTCGCCAAAGTCGTAAACCAGCCTAAACCAAGTGTATCCGATTGAAGCCCACCTCCTTTGACCAGGGTGAAGTTCGTGTTGTCCAACTCCCACACGCCAATACCACAAAATTGAAACTGGCGGTGGATACTTGGAACATGGTCTCCGGGAACCTCACTGGATACACAAACTACGGGATCCTTGTCCCCTCAGGAATTCAATACAAACCTTCAGGAATACGTGAGCCTTGGTAGCGGGAACAGGGCTGCGGGGCCAAGAGGGACCGCGTGCTTTTCGCGCCCCCATCCAGGAAGCGGTGAAAGTCTTCCTGTACTACTGGGACGACAGGCGGGCGAATCATCTCCGATAGGGCTTAGGGCTTAGGGTCTAAGGTAGCGTTTAGGGTTTAACGCTTGTGTTGAAGATTCAGGCTCAAGGTTTGGGTTTTGTTAGGGTGTAGAGCTCCAATGTGAACTAGAGCTGTCAAGCAGCCAGTATCCCCGCGATGGCAGCCAGACTGGGCACTAAGCAGTAGCCTTAAATAGTCTTAAAGAGCCATCCAGCAGCAATGAACATCCTTCCTCGAAGCTGTGGTGTTTGGTTTGAAGGCCTAGGAATCCAGACCTTAACTTAGTGCAGATCCCTGCTTCATCAAGCTTATGGATGATGCCTATTCTAGTCCTGGGGAATCAGGGGTCTACATTACCTTAAAGCCCACGCCGAAGACTCAAGATCTGAGGTCTCACAGGCAGATGACGTTTAAACGAGGACCCTCTTGATTTGGGAGTATGAGCTAAAACGGGTCTTCCCAGGATGGCTTTTTGAGGGATACTGCCGAACGAAGTGCTCTTGAGTCCTAAGTTGCATGTCGCTTCTTTCCAGGATCTCTACAAAGACGTGGATCAAGCTTCGTGAACTGACTTCCGAAACCGGCTGAGGTCTTAGGGGCTTAGGGTTTAGGGGCTAGGGTTTATGGGTTTAGGGGTTTAGGGTTTATTCGACTCCGGAGTTCGCAGTGTTCCGCCCCGATTACGAAGAACACTGAGCCGTACGACCCGACAAATCCAAACCCCTAAAACCCGGGAGCACTCTGAGCCCTAAACACCGTGAGCCTCAATGACACTAAACCCTTAGAAGACGGAGCACCAATCACACTGGGCCCCAAGAACCCTAAAGCTTCAGGTTCTTGAAATTGGTCTTCAAACCCTCGAACCGCAAAACAATGCCCTATAAACCCTTAAGGAGCCCCTTCAACGGAACCCGTGAGACTACCTTTAAGGACCCGTCAGGGGCCCTCAAAACTTGATCTGCGCCAGGGATGGGAAAGCTCTCAGTGGCTGGTGGCGAGCCTCTCAGAGCTCCGGAGCTTCGACGACTTCGGAGATTGCCTTTAGCTTTGATTCTCTGTGTGACAAGAACGGGTGCCTTTACACAAAACGCACTTCTGTGTGTGCATATATGCATGTACATATATATATATATATATATATATAGACACAGGCATATACAGCTGAGGGTTAGCACAGCCTCTTTATACGGACCAACAGTAAGGGTTCTACCAGGGTTGCATAGGTGCCAAAATGGGTGCGTTTGGGGTTTCTACAGTGATGGCTTTGCAAGGGTTCCATAGCTTATGGGGGGTCAAGGATTAGCGCACGGCTCTTGGGCATTCATGTGTGATTGCTTTTCGGAGTCTTGCTTTCTTGTGTAGCTTACCTTCTTGTCCCAGCGTTCGGTGGGAATAGGCACAAGACCCCGAATCCCAGCTTTTAGCTTTCTTGCAACTGCCTGCAAGGCTTTTAGGCCATTGCTAGCTGGTGTCACCAGCAGGACTTGGTGTAACCATAAGGGTTTCCTGCGGTTCCTTTAAAGGGGTCTATAAGGGTTACTATAAGGGATCTATAGGGGTCTATGGTATAGGGAGTCTTCTGCCCGGCTTGGTATGGGGGTTTCCGAAATAAGGGACCCTAATTGTAGGATCCTGATTATAAGGACCCCCAAATAAGGTACCCCTAATTTTCGGAAACGCCCGTATATACCAGCCGCGGCCTAGCAAGGCCAACCAAGGCCCTCTCGTGTTATACAGGAATTTCTGCAAAGGGAGTATAGTGACGGGGTTTCGGGTTTAGGGTTTAGGGAATGAGGAAGATGACGAAGAAGACGGTTGGGACGATAAGAATGATCATGATGGCAATGCCGAGGATGATGAGGAGTATGCTTCTTGTGATGCAGGTCGTCACAACAGTCATGGTTATGAAGGCCAGGCAGAATGGGCTGTGCGGGGTTGCTGATGACGATGGCGTTGGAGTGGTTCTGTAAGAGCTGCTGCTGCTACGGATACTGATCGTAACCTCTCTAGAAGCCCCACAGTAACCCCGGTATAGTAACCGTCATGGTAAGCCCCCATCAAAGTCCTAAGTCTAATAGTAACTCCTCATACCCTAAACCCTAAACCCTAAAGCCCTAAACCCTAAACCCTAAAGCCCTAAACCCTAAACCCTAAACCCCTAAACCCTAAACCCTAAACCCTAAAACCCTAAACCCCTAAAGCCCTAAAACCCTCAAACCCTAAACCCTAAAAGCCTAAACTCCTAAACCCCTAAACTCTAGCCTCTTATAAAGAAAGAGGGAATAGAAACCCTCAAATAGCACCGTTTAGTAACCCTCATGGTAAACAACCATAAAAAATCCGAAGTCATCTTCACAGTAGCCCCTTAACCCTAAACCCTAAACCCTAAACCCTAAACCCTAAACCCCCCTTATAAAGAAAGAGGGGAAGCTGGCTCCTACCAGGTTCGGAGACGAACTCGGCGGCGTTCAGGCCCGCGCTGGACTTTGTCATCTATTATTTGCTTAAGAAACCACCAAATAGTAAAAATAATAATCCCTATTTTACCCCCATAAGGAATATATTTTTTGGGGGGTTCTTAAGCAAACAGTAGTCATAGATCCCCCAAACAACTACTTTGGACCCCTTTAAAGGAACCCTAGGAAACCCTTATGGCAACCATTAAGGCCCCTTTTCCAGTAGAGGGTACTTGGAGGGTCGGGGGACTTAGTAAGTAGGCCATAAGTAGACTTATAAGTGCCTTGAATTCGACCCTAATTGGGGTTATGGTACTTATAAGTCTCTAAAATAACTACTTACTACGTCCCCCGACCCTCCAAGTACCCTCTACTAGAAAAGGGGCTTTAATGATTACCATAAGGTTTTCCTAAGTGTTCCTTTAACCGGGGTTTATAAGGGTTAGTGTAAGGGATCTATAATGGGGGTTCATGGAAAAGGGGCCTGAATGACTGCCAATACTATTCTGGGGGTTCTTGATTTTTGTACTCAGAGTACAAGGGGCTTAACACCCTATTCTAATTATTAAGGCCCCTCTATCATGCCCCATGTATTTTGCTGAGGCCCATCGAGCCTCTGGCAAGTGTGCCTTGGGGTAGGTTTTGCTTGGAATGTCGGTCTCAGTGGTTTCCCGAATCTGGAGCGTAGATGTCATCTCGCAAATCTCCTGGGCTACACGACATCCTACACATCCCGAAACCTTCAGCCCTAAACCCTAAACCGTAAACCCTAAGCCCTAAACCGCAATCCCAGAAAACTTAAACTAGGTAGGGCTTGGGGACATTTTATATTTTCCCTTATTGGGCTTAAGAGGATCTTATTTACTAATATTTTTCAAATGCTTTAAAAGCCCCACCTAGTAATCTGTTTCCGGCAAACACATTGCCTCTTCGGACCTTGGGATGTCAGACCCTGGCAGACAGAAAAGAAACCGATGTAGGAACCTGATTAAGAAACCTTGGGCCTTTATTGGGGTTCCTTTAAATGGGGTCTATAAGGGTTACTATGAGGGATCTATAAGGGTAATATCATAATGTAGGCACCTGATTAAGAAACCTTGGGCCTAGAAATCCCCAAAATAGTAGGGTTCATATCCTAGTAGACAGGTCTGGGCGCGGAACCCCACTGCTTCACCAGTCCCTCCGAGAGAGGGATGGAAAGCCAGGGCCCCACGAAGAAACCACGGGGTGTAGGCTTTGGGGTCTGGTGTTTAGGGGTTTGGGGTTCAGGCTTTGCGGTCTAGGTTTAGGGGTTTGGGGTTTGGCTTTGGGGTCTAGGTTTTAGGGTTTTTGGTTTCGGGGGGTTGCATGGTTTAGGATCAAGGGTTTAGGATTCCGGTGTTTAGGCTTTGGTTTGAGGCGAAGGCTCGAGGGCTTGCATCGGAAACCCACATGGGTGTCTGTGAAGGCTACCGGGGCCCCATGGTGACTACGAGGGTTTCAGTGGTTTTGGGTTTTCGGGGTTTAGGGCTTTTAAGGTACCAGTCAGAAACCGTTATGCAGGGGTTGCGCAAGGCGTAGACGGTTTCGAAACGGTTTTATCCGATTTCTCGGGAAATGCAACGGGTATTAGGGTCTACCAAAGAGTGAAGTACTGACGGGTCGGGTGTGCAGAATGAATCTGAAGTACGGAGGGTTCGACCAAAGGGCGGAGTACAGAAGCCTGTAAACTCAAAGATGCAACCCCTCAAGAGCCCTGAAAGCCAAGAAGCGATCAAACCCGCAAAATTCTCCCGGTCATAGTCAATGGCGCTCGCCTAAACCAAGAACCATGGGGTATCAACACGAGGACCCAAAAGCCCAGATTTTCCTCAAGCCGCAAGCCCCAAACTTATGCCCTCAATCCTAAACCCTGAACCCTGAACCCGAACCCTAAACCCTAAACCCTAAATTTGGGCCCTGAACCCTAAACCCTGAACCCCAAACCCTAAACCCTAATCTTGGGTCCTGAACCGTAAATCCTGAACCCTAGGCCCTAAACCCTAAATTTGGGCCCTGAACCCTCAACAATCAACCTTATACCTCCGAACAATGAAACTCTGAGACCCTACTTAGAGGGTCATGGGACTTAGTAAGTAGGTTATAATTGGGGTTATAAGTCCCCTAAGTGGGGTTAGCCTAATTATAACCTACTTATAACCTTACTTACTAAGTCCCCTGGGCCTTTAAGTAGACCCTAAACCCTAAACCCTTATTAGAGAACCCTATAGTACCCTTAAAGGGGACCCCTAAGCCCTTACTTAAGGTTCCCTGGGATGCTCCGGCATCGGAGCCCGGGCTCCTCCTGGTGGAGCCTTTCGTTCAGCAGGCCCAAGCGGGGGCTTCTACTATCAAAGGGGAAAAGGAGGGACCCTTAGGGCTCTTAGGGTTCCTTTAAAGGGATCTACAGGGATGCTATAAGGGTATAGGATTTAGGGTTTAGGGGTTTGGGGGTTTAGGGGGTTTAGGGGAAAAGGAGGGACCCTTTTTGGGGACCCCTACCCTAGAATGGGCTATATAATGGGTATATAATAGCTATATTAAGGGTATATACCTAGGGGTCCTTATTAAGGGTCCCTCCTTTTACCCTTGGATACTAGTCTTCAGGACATTTTGGGAAGTTTCCTCATATTATCCTTGACCCTAAACCCTATACCTTACTGGGCTTGCGAGTCATCAGGAGTCCGGTGCACTTTTAAAGCAACCTGCCAGTTCCTTTGACGTAGCCGGGGTGGTTCGAGGTTCCTGATTCCCTAAACCCTAAACCCTAAACCCTAAACCCTAAACCCTAAACCCTAAACCCTAAACCCTAAACCCTAAACCCTAAACCCTAAACCCTAAACCCTAAACTTGTGGTTTCGGGTCTAGGGGTTTCAGTTGTCGGTGTTGCGGGTTTTCGGGTTGAGCCTTGGGGGTCTGTGGTTGAGGGTGTAGAGCTTTTAGGGTTTAGGGTTTAGGGTTTAGGGTTTAAGGTTTAGGGTTTAGGGTTTAGGGTTTAGGGTTTAGGGTTTAGGGTTTTGTGTCTTTACAAGTTAAAGGTTTTAGGTCAGTTTCAGGTTTTCGGGTTCAGCGGTGGGGGTTTACTGAACGGTTTCCGCGGGCTTTCTTTCCTAGGGCTCCACGGGCTTTTGAAGGGTTTAGGGTTTAGGATTCAAGGTTGCGGGGGTTTGGCATCTCAGGTTTGCGGCTTTCGGCTTAAGGCTGCTCTTTGAGGAGCCATTGAGGTCTTGCGTCTTACGGCCCTTCTTGTGCTGCTGCAGTGTTGGTTCCTTTGATATGGCATAGCTTCGTGTTTGCTGTTGAACACAGTCACAACAACGATCATTATCAGTAGTCGTAGTTACATTGCTACGAATAAAAATGACAATGGTGCGAATCGTGCCATTCTATCGATCGGTGTCTTCTGACTTGCGCTCTCCCCACTGGGCAGCGTCGCTTAGGGTTTAGGGATGGGTCAAGTTTTTGGGTCCTTACGGGTTTCGGGGTCTGGGGAGCTGTGCCGAATTCCGCCATTCACGCCGCCAGACGGGTTCAAGCTTGCTGCAGCCGCCCGAAATGGCAGGCCGGTGATTAGCAAGACAGATGCTAAGCGCGTCAAGGGTTAAATGCGCAGAGACCATCATCAAAGACCCAATTAATGCTATGACTGAGCCTGTCAACGTCATGTCATAAGAAATGAAAACCTTCCTGACTTCCTGTGTAGATAAGTATCAGGCTGTGACACAACGTAGACAGAACCCGAAGGGATCCTTTTTTGAAGCGCTTGGAGGAACACTGAAAGGAACCCCTGAACCCACCCTCACACCCTTTGCCTCCACCTCTTCCAGAAGCATCACCAGAAGCATCAAACGGCTTCAAAGCGCCAAGGGGCACCAAAGCATAGGTTTCAAATCCAATCAAATACAAAAAAAGTGTCGCCATGGGATTACTCGCATGATTGAAGCATTTTACCTTTAACCCCACACCCCAAAACGCCTACACCCCCTAACACCTATACTCCTTCAACCCCAAACCCTAAGCTCAAGCTCTCTACACGCCCAAAGCATTAGCCCTAAACCCTAATTCCCTTTAAAGCATGAGCCCTAAACCCTAAACCCTAGACCCTAAACCCTAAACCCTAAACCCCTCTAAAGCATGAGCCCTAAAGACCTAAACCCTAAAGCCCTCTAAAGCATGAGCCCTAAAACCCTACACCCTAGACCCTAAGACCCTAAACCCTAAGCCACTCTAAAGCATGAGCCCTAAAACCCTAAAGCCCTAAAGCCCTCTAAAGCATGAGCCCTAAAGCCCTAAACCCTAGACCCTAAAACCCTAAACCCTAAAGCCCTTTAAAGCATGAGCCTCTTCGATGGTCGGTGCCGGGACTGTGGGCGGCGGCCACGTCTTCGCTCGGAGCTGGGCCGCTTTGTCCCGCGATGGCTCGGGGCTCCCGGGCTTCGGGTTCTCTTGGGGCTTAGGGTTCTTGAGTTTGGGGTTTAGGGTTCTTGAGTTTAGGGCTTAGGATTCTTGAGTTTAGGGTTTAGGGTTCTTGAGTTTAGGGCTTAGGATTCTTGAGTTTAGGCTTTAGGGTTCTTGAGTTTAGGGCTTAGGATTCTTGAGTTTAGGGTTTAGGATTCTTGAGTTTAGGGTTTAGGATTCTTGAGTTTACGGTTTAGGATTCTTGAGTTTACGGTTTAGGATTCTTGAGTGTAGGGTTTAGGATTCATCCTTGAGTTTGGGGTTGTGAAATTTCCCTGTCTTGAAGCGCCGTGTTGACCTGTCCTCATGCGAGCGTAGTCTTTTGAGTTAGATCTGAACGCACCCTGTACGACAGACGTCTTGGGCTCAGACCAAAAAGTGCGCTCGTAGTGTGGTTGGACACTCACTAATCCAGTTCCTGCTTCAAACTGGTAGCGGAGCTGTGAGGACAACCACTAGTGTTTCACCCCCGTAGAGCCTGTGGTCCGGGGTCCGTTGGGTAGAGTAGTGATAGTCGCGGCGCAAAGGCCCCTTCTATCTGAAGCCATGAGCGTGGCAGGTTTGCGTTACCAGCCCAATCTCTGGTCACAGAACCTGAGCCCTGCAGAAACGAAAAGCGGTTCGTACATATACGACGGTACGGCTGCTGGCTTCCACGATTGGTGCTTCCGGACACAGATCCGTGTGCTGCAACATAAGGAGAAGCAGCGGCGTGAAGCTCTTAAGGACCTGCGATTTGCCGAGTCGGCAAGGGCCAAGAGCGAGTCACCAAGGAAGTGGCGTGGCAGGGCAAGTCAGGGGACCAGTGCATCGCCCACAGATGGTGATGGAAGCAGCGGTATACCCGCCAGTCCGTCCAGCGCAAAACGGACTAAGCCCGCGTCCGAGGCAGAAGATGAGGATGCGGAGTCGTTGCCGTCGCACCCCAGCCAAGTGGCGGGCGACGATGAGCAGGAGCCGGACACAGATCCGGCGGTGTACACCTTGCAAGACATTAAGGACGAGTCGCTTGATATGAGCGAATGCGTTAGCAAGATTTTGGAGGGTCTCCGAGGAGACGCCTTTTGCATTGCTCGCGACGTCGGCCTGGAACGTCTGCTTCGCCATGATGGCGTCGACTACCTGATAGAAGAAATCAGGAGGCAAGCTTTCCCTCTTCAATCTGAAGAGGCTTCCGAACTTTTCCGTCAGGGACAGCTCCTGACGGGCCCACTCGCAAAACAACCCGGCGAGCCTATGTTGTCTTACATAGCCCGCCGAAAGCGGTGGTGGTCGACCTTGCGTGAGCTAGATCCTGATATCCGCCTTTCTGAAGCAATGAGGGCTAACCTCCTTGTTGAGCTTTCAGGGTTGGAAAGGAACGAACAGCTAATGGTCAAGACCGCCGCCCGCGTACACACTGTGGATGAGTACGCACGCGTCCTTGTTCAACATCACTCAGTGGTGCACATGAAGGAACGTCTTCTTACCCAGAAGGACCCTAGTGGCCCAGGTAAGACCTGGAGACGTTTCGACGCTAAGTCACAATACCCTAAGTTTGGTTACATGGGGTATGATGGTAGTGCCGCAGAGTATGGTCACCAGGAACAGCAGGAATCCGCGGAAGGCTACGGTGACGGCTACGGCGAGGAAGCATACCAGGCCACAGCGTCTGGGGGAGATGATGCGGATGAGTGGATTGATGATGAAGACCTAGCATTGCAACTCAACGCCTATACGGCAGTGGCATATGAAGCTGAGATTGACGATTTGGACGATTCCTATGCCGAGTCAGTTCAGCTTGCGTACGCGGCACAGACCGCCTTTGCCCAGGCGAAAGGAAAAGGAAAAGGGAAGAACAAGGGCAAGTCCTCCGGAAAATCCGGAGGGAAGGTCGTGCGTAGCAATTTGACTATCGCTGACCGTAAGGCCAAGTTGGCAGAGCTTAAGGCAAAGAGTAGGTGCCTGAAGTGCGGTGTGATCGGCCATTGGGCCGGAGATGCTGCCTGCAAGTTTAGCGGTAAGGGCAATGGCCCCAAGGGCACCACAACCCCAGCACAGTCTGGGGGAACTGCCAACGCAGCCGCAAAGCCGGCGGCGCCGAAGCCCCAGGCGTACTTCGCCGCAGTGGAGGAGGATGACACAGAGTGTGTCCACCTGTCGAATGCGAGCGCTGGTAGGCTCGAGGGTTACCCAGCCAACCTTGAGCTGACCCCCTCGAGGACCAATACCGGCAAAGGCCGCGGCAGTGAAACCCTCTTCTCACCGCAGCTTCGGCGCACAGCCGCCGCTAGGATCATGCGTGACAGCCCGCCTGAGGGTTCCGATCGCGTTTTCTCTTTTGGTCAGCACAAGGGTCTGACTTACGAGCGTGTCTTGTATACGTTTCCTGGGTATGTTCTTTGGGGACGCACGCAGAAGTGCCCATCCATAAATTTGGCCGATTTCTTGGATTGGGTCACGGAGTACTTTGATGTGCGTGATGACAACCCCATTAGCATCACGAGAAGGGATGTCCCTCTCAGCCAGGAGCCCCCGCCTGAACCCTTTCAGCCCGAGGTTCGCCTCGCCGCGTCAGCTGCTTCGTCCAGCGAAGGCCCCCGGAAATGCCGGGGAGGTTGCAAGGAGTTCAACAAGTCGGGGAGTAACGCATACATAGACATGCGGACCTGTAAGAAATGCGGCACCGTCACCAAGACGAAGAAAGAGAAGCCTGTCATAGACCAGGCCACATGCCCCCACACCTCCACCGAGAGGTCGGGTAGCAGTAGGAAGACCTCCCGCATTAAGTGCAAGCTTTGTGGGATGCTTCTAGATGAGCAGCCGCAGACCGAGCGAAAGGCTAGGGATGACGCAGCCACAGTGCTGCGGGAGTCCAATACCCTGGACTTC